TCCCCCCCCCCCCCTGTCACTGTAAAATAATACAGTATTCAATTTACTTTTTTTTCATAATTGAAAACCAGGGTTGGGTTGATTTAAATTAGTTGATTTTTAAAAATTTTAATCAATTTGACTTTTTTAAAAACTCAGTGATTTAAATCACTTAATACAAAAATGTATTCTGCTTTTACATCTTTAAACATTCCTTTCCTTGGTTTTATAAAACAGATATAAGGTTTAGTAGACTAATATAGTCATGCTTAAAAGTCTGCTTTCCCCCGTCACTGTAAGTAGTAAAATAATACAGTATTCAAAAAATTCTATTTACTTTTCTTTTTTCGTAATTGAAATTAGCATTTTCTTTTTCTTTTTAGACAAACACAAGCACGAGCACACACACACACACTGTAATAAAATGCAAGTTTATCTATGCATAATTTCCCCCCCCCCCCCCCCCTTCCTTTTAGACTGACATTTTCTTCATTTTTTGTCTGTAGCCATAATTCACTGATGTGTGATATAGCAGATTAAGGCTTTCTTTTGCAGCTGCTTAAATTAATGAGACAATGCAATTTGCACTAAAAGAACATACTTTTAGCCATCAAAAATCCCAAACTGTGTCAATATTTTTTTTTAAATAAAAAAAATCCGATTTATGTTTAAAAAAATCTGATTTAAATAAAAAAAATCGATTTTTTAAATTTTTCTTTAAAAAATCAAAAAAATCACCAACCCTGCTGCTGCCACGTTGTAATGTATCCTCTCACCTGGATGGGCCCTGACAGTTATTTTAGTCAGAGTTTTACTGCACTTTCGACACCATTAGGTCACATGCGCGCCAAAGATTTGAGGTGAAAGAATTGTTCGTTTGTTTGAGTAAAGAGAAGCACATCGACACAACAACGGTCATTTAGTGCTAGGGAAAAGGAACAGACAGAAACAACAGAGGGGAAATAAACAAGTAGGACCTGCCAGTGACACCCTCCAACCACCCACAGAGACAGGAGCAACAGTAGGAAAATAAAGAAGTAGAACCTACCAGTGACACCCTCTAACCACCCGCTAAGGAGGAGAGACAAGGACAATAGATACCATGTTTGATAGGAAAGAAGGAGAGACAAGGACGATAGATACCATGTTTGATAGGAAAGAAGGAGGAGAGATAAGGACGATAGATGTTTGATAGGAAAGAAGGAGGAGAGATAAGGACGATAGATGTTTGATAGGAAAGAAGGAGGAGAGATAAGGACGATAGATACCATATTTGATAGGAAAGAAGGAGGAGAGACAAGGACGATAGATACCATGTTTGATAGGAAAGAAGGAGGAGAGACAAGGACAATAGACGACCACCTAAACTGTGTGGGTGGTAAAACATCAACAACAAAAACTTGCAGACGGAAGGACAAGTCTTGACCAGGGAGTGTGTATGTACAAAGTTTATTGTGTCAAAGAGAATCACAGACCTGCAACCTCGTTGTCGAACAAACCTACGACCCCACGACCTCGTTGTCAGCAGGCGAGACCTACAACCGTCAATCTGGACACACGACCCGACTACCCCCCACCCACAAAGCCCAACAACTCTTCCCTACTACAACACAGATTTTATCACACGGTACCGCTACCTACAGAAACAAAACAATTCTGGAAAAGGTCTGTAAACTGTAATATAAACACTCCCCCCCCCCACAACTAGAACCAACTCCCTCACAGACACACACAATAATAGAACACACTAGGCTACTCTAGATACTAGATAGACACCCTCCCCCTACCAAAATCAAATGCTTCACACGAATTCACATCAGACATTTCAGTTTCACTCACTCTCTCACACGCCTCCCTGTTCAGTAGACTATTCAGCAGTCAGTTCCTGTCTGCTCAG